CTTTTTCCTCACTTCAAATGCACTCAAACTCACTAATGTGCGTATACGATGTCCCCCACCACCGCCAAGTGGTTCTGTTCTGATTTCACCAACCACCTCTTTGTTGCTGTCCAACCACCCTTTTTAGTTCTTATCTTATTTGTTCTCTCTATAACTTTTGGCAAAGTAGATCATTCCAGATCTTTAAACTCTTTTTTAAAAAAATTTTATCCTTGAAACATTTGGTTTTTCCATTGGTACTTCGTTTTAAAAGATTTTCTTTCTTTATTTTTTAGGGAGGGGGAGGGAGCGAGAAAGAGAGGGAGGGAAATGATGTGGGAGAGAAACATTGATTGGTTGCCTCTTATAGGTACCCCAACCAGAGGTGGAACGTGCAACCCAGGCATGTGCCAAGACCAGAATTGGAACCAACAATCTTTTGCTTTGCAGTATGACACTCAACCAACTGAGCCAGAGTGGTCAGGACCAGACCTGGAAACTCTTCTCTGGGTTTCTGTGGTGTACTCACTATCAGTTAAGAGGCTTTTAGCAACAGTTAAAGAAAAAAACCCAATCCAAACTGGTTTAGACAATAATAAAGTTATTTCACATAATAGTAAAGCTCAGAGGGCTGGCTTCCAGAACAATTGATTCCATGGTAGAACATCACTAGCAACTTGGGTTCTTTTTGCTTAACTATCCACAGCATCAGCTTCATCCTAAGATTAGTTTCTTTCATGACCATAAAGCAGCTGCCAGCAATAAGGCAGCATGCTTCCTGGAACCCCTCTACCCCATCATGAAAAAAAAATCCTTAATTTGGTTGGGCCAGCATCAGTGAAATGTCCACTTTTGGAACAATAACAGTCACCAGAGAAATTCTATGTACTGGCTGGCTGAGGGTGTCTTTCCTGAATCCCATGGCTATGCATGTGGGGAGTGAATATCTGAACAAAATCAGGGCTCTCTTAGCAAAGCAGCAGGGTGGGATGGATGCTGAGCACACAGCCGATGGTGTCCACTGCATTTGCTTTCCTGATTTTCCCTGGCTCCTCTTCTTAGGCTCCTTTCTGAATTTTTCTTCCCTGAACCATCACTTAAATGTAATCACTTTAGATAATTCTATTTTCAATCCTCTTCCATTCAGACTACAGTCTATCTGTGGACCACCACAGCCTTATCTTTGATTACTATCTCTAATAAAAAAATTCTGTTATGCATTACCTAACTGAATCTAAACTGATGACTCCTAATTAAAGTGTATATCTCCAGCCAAAGTATCTGTTCCAAGCTCCATACTGTGAATTCCAAAACAATTTACATCCAATACTTCCTGTGGTAGGCAGAATAATGCTCCCCTACCCTAATTATGTCCTAATTAGGACATTAGGATTATGTCCTAATCTCCAGATCCCATAAACAAGTTAGGTTACAGGCAAAGGGCAATTAAGGTTACAGATGGAATTAAGGTAGCTGATCAGCGGATTTTCCAGATGGGCCCAAAGTAACTACAGATCTCTTTAAAAGTGGAAGAGGGAGGCAGAGTGTTGAGAGCATAGGCAAACTACTCCATAACACTGCTGCCTCAGCATCCATTGTGTGTGGCTGAGCAGCCCACAGGGCTTTGAACTGACACCAGCCCCTCCCTCAAGTGCATGGCCTGGCTAGCAACCCAACCACTAGATAGAAGGGTCACAAGTAAGTTCCTGATATGACTTCCCAAAGCCCCTGGTGATACACAGTCTCTTCTGTTTACCAACTATTTTCCTTTGTGCACCCCCTTGGATAATACCTCCATTGGGCTTACCAAAACTCTAATTTTTTGGTTTGAATTGACCAATCTGACCTTAGTCTGGGAAACCCAAAAGCATTCCACTTGACCTTAACAAAGACATGTACCCCAGGTCCTGCTACTCACTCCCTGCCTGCCCCTTGATCTCCCCAGTTGTATGTAAGATGTAATAAACTTTCCTATTTCACTTTCTCTTGGGATCTCTGTTGAACTGTGGCTCAACACCCCAGGGTTCTACTTAATAAATGTTAATTTAACAAAAATCACAAGATAGGGGAGAAAGAACTAGAGAGACTGCAGTGTGAGAATGACTCAGTCAGATATTGCTGGTTTTGAAGGTGGAGCAATGGGGCCATGAGCCAAGAAATGCAGGCAGGCTCTCAAAGCACGAAAAGGCAAGGAAACTGACTCTCTCCTAGAGCCTCCAGAATGAATGCAGCCTTGCTGACACCTTGATTTTGGCTGAGTGAGATCCATTTTTAATTTCTGACCTCTAGAACTAGAAGATAATAAATTTGTGCTGCTTTAAAGCCACTAAGTTTGTTGTAATTTGCTACAGCAGTCCTAACAACTAATATACTTCTCATGCTCAACTCGTGTAAGTTAACTGCCAACATCTCCTGCAAATCTTTGTTTTCTTTTTTTGGGGGAATAGCACCACCATATACCCAGTTATCCAACTGGGGGTCATCCTTGACCTCTACCTCTCCCCAATGTTTAATTCACCAATTCCTGTCAGTTCTTTCTACCTCTAAGATAACTCCCCTATTCCACTGCATCTCTCTGCAACTGACTCTTTCTAGGCTATAATTCTGAACTGCTAGAATTACTATGTACCAGTGGAGTTTTGTTCTCTGTTCTCTACACTTTCAGATATATGTGTACATATACATACATATACAGATACATTTTTTAACTGAGATCCATAGGAAGAACAACATTTCACATCAAGATATAGCATACAAGCGCACACACACACACACTCAAACCAAAAGTTTCCCAAAACCCTAATTCATACTCTCTTGTAATGTGTGCTATTTTCTATTATATATAATTTAATTTTATATTAAAAAACCCAGCTACTTGTGACTCACTATAATGATTTCATAACTGACTAATGGATCATGACCTGTAGTTTGAGAAAACATTTTTCCACCAGCCTTCTAGAATTTTCTTTCTAAAATACAATCATTATTTTCCTTAAAATTCTTCAATGGCCTCCCACTACTCTGAAGATAAAGTTCAAACTTAACACAGCTTATGTGATCCTCCATTATCCAGCTCTTTTATCACTGAAGTTTCATCTGGCTCTACTCTAACTAATTCATTTTCATTTTGCAACCCAATCTAACCTACTCCTTTCTGGACTCACAATGTGTCTAGTGTTAGAACACTGCCCTGTGGTCTAGTGTTAGAACATCATCCTGTGGCTAATTCCTGCTCATTCCACCTTCTCAGCTTAGACTTCATTTCCTTCTGTGTGCTGTCCCTGGGTGCCTGGCTTGGGTTTGGGGCCAACCCCTCCTGCCGTATGCTTTCTTGGCACATTGCATGTCCTCAATGGCAGTGTTTGTCACTGCATTTCAACTACAACAATGCTATTGAAGAGCACTATGTAAATGCTATTTATGGACTTTGTTCTCCATGGTATACTTAGTTGGCCTTCAGTAAATATTTATTGAATAAATAAAACTAGTTTAGTGGGTTCCCATTTTAAGTCCATTAAACGGACATTCTCACACATTCCCATGTTGTTGGATATTTGGTTCTTTCACACCATGCAACATGTTATAAAATTTCAAAGAAGGCACAGGTCTGGAACATTAAACAGTTTCTGGAGTTTAGCTATGTGTGAAGCAGCATGGTACACTGGGTTCAACACTCACGAGATCTCTCATATTGGGACATAACCTAGCATCTCTAAGTTTTAATTTCCTCTTACCTGAATTCAAGGGTAAACTTAACATTTACCCTTGGCTATCCACAAGCACCCCAAACTCAGTTTGGGTAACATACAGGGATAATAATAGCATGCTCTTAGGACAATTTTGAGTAGCCAGTGGGATAAATAATTAAATAATACTTTGCAGATTATTTTTAATCTATTACTCCTACATACAGACACACATGCTTATGTCAGGTTACGCTAACACCCTAAGTTACATTGATCAAAGCCAGGAAGTAGGGTGAAGAATGGGAGAGAGAGGTATGATTATCCTGTATGAGCAAGCCTTGTAAATTTCTTGGATTTATCTATAATTTGGTCCGTGATATTTTGGCTTTTTATTCAGAGAGTTTCTTCCTCAGAACTTTCCTGTTCCCTTAAAAGAAAACAAAAATCTCATCAGTGTAACTAATTTAGTCTGCAATATCAGTTGCTGGGTATTTTATGAACTTCTTGGTGGGGTGGGGAGAGCTCCATACTCAGCTGAGCATCACCGGATTGATATATGGTGGTTTTGCTCTGGTGGGAAGGAATAACGAACCCCCCACAAATAAAAAGAATAGCTGTCCGTGAAGTATATGTCAGCCAGCTCTCCAACGTTATCTGACTACTTAATGTCACTAGAGGATTATATATACCTGCCTTCGTCTCTTTCAGTCACTCCTACAAAATGGTGCAGAATTTCTTCCTCTAAATGTTAGTGGGCTACGAAATGCCCAAAGACTAAACTTTGCAGTAGGCTGCAAACATTTCGGATATAACATAACACTGTGCTGATGTCAGAGTAAAAATTCAAAATACCTACCCACAAATCAGACTGACACCTTGAAAAACAAATTACTTGTGAATATTTTCCTCACTTTTTCCTCAGTTACCTTACAACCTGTTTTGAAGGTGGCAGATACTCATCAAGGAATATGGAATCAGCAAAATATTGTAGCTCAATACATCGAAGGTTCAATAAAGTTGTGTTAATGTTTCATGAAAGAAGGTAAACATTTCATTAATTTTCATTTCATTCATTCACTTGGTATATACATCCCATTATTTGCCAGGCACTTGTGCAGTTGCTAAGGATATAATGGTGAAAAAGACAAAGTCCTGCTTCAGGGAGTTTACATTTTCTGACAAGAAGGGAGAAGATAAAAAGAACAAGTAGTTAAATGAGAACATCAGGAATTGATATATATGCTATCAATATGGAGAAATTAAAGCAAATCTGTACCAAATAAAGAAGAATTGGACTAAAATGCAGTTCTCTTCTTTATAGTTCCATGTTACACAGTAAAAGAAATGTGTGACGATTAAACCACAGCAGCATGTTTCATCACCCATCTTCGCACTCATCGGAGCTTTCTTCGCTGAGCTCCTCGCTGCTTTCCCCTTCACTCTCACTGCTACTGTCTTCTTCACTATCTTTATCATCTTCCCCAAGATTCTGAGCTCTCTCTGCCACAGAAAGAAAGAGAATCGCTTAATACATTTCTTAATATTTCCACTCCTTGAAAAATTGTAATTCTCCTTGCCTATCCCTCCACCAAGAAATACATACTTTTGGAATATGAGAACTGAGCTGAACTTTGTTAACTGTATATAGGGTTACAGTAGTAGTACAAATAAGAATATATTCTTACTGGCATAAAGATGTTTGTGAATTCAAAGTAAACTTAAAACTATGTCTATGAAAATATTTTTATTATCGTGAATGTAATTCTTAAATAGGGTAAGTAAATACTTAGTAGAATAGGATAATCTGGAGGGTGCTGACTTTCCTTGGAATTGTGGGCCCTCTACACTGACTTTCCTTAACACAGGGGGCAATTAGCATGTTCTCTTCCCTTGGAAGACTAGGGTGCGTGATGCCTATGTCCGGGAAGCCTGCTTTGTTTGGGCAGTTCCACTCCACAGAGAGAAGGAAGTCATCTTGACTATCCACAAAGGACAAGCTGGCTTCATTAAACCACCCAAGACAACCACTTAGACTTTTCTTAACCACTTCCTGAGGATGTACTTTGCCAATCTCCTGGGATAATGGGTTTCTAAATAGTGACTGCTTATAGTTCTATGAGAAAGAAGGAAGTTCAATTTTTAAATTTACCCATCTGCAACATTTCTTCAATAAGTGAGAAAAACTCCTTGGCCTCAGGATTTTCTGGTTCATAAATTAGGACTGAAAATGGACAACAGAGTGTTATTAATGTTCAAGTGTATCAGCAAACAGGCTCCTCAGAATGAGACTGAAACTGCCAATCAGAGTAAGTAAAAATGCACAAAGTGACAAACACCAATTACACCATGGGTATATTTAAGTGCAAAGAGAGAAAATGCTCTACTTATCTTAGGTACTTTGTAAATGAAATAATTCTCATTCTATTTTCTACCTCCTGTCCGAAGAATCAACCTCTGTCACTATGAGGCTTCCTTCATAGGCCTGAAACCAAGGTGTTTTGTAACTAATTCCTCAAATAAGGCACAGATCCTGCAAAATATGGAGACTTTGCTACTGAGAGTGTGTAGCTATAGTCTGTTAATCCTTCATCTCATCTCAGCCTTCCAAATCCTATATGACATCCTTTACTAAAGGTCTCATCTGAACACTTTGAACACAAAGCAACAAAGTTGGTTTTTTCGTTTTCTTTTTTTTTTTTTTTTGTTTTTTAGTGCAAGCTCTCCCATAGCAGAGAGGCCATTTCTAAAAACTCATCTTTCAAATAGGAAAATTGATTTTTCTTATTTCTCTTCATCCTTAAAACTTTTACCTTAGTTTATACCCCAGTCATTGCCGACTTAACAGCATTCTACCGTTTTCATCAGATCCATTGTTTTTAGCACTATTTATGACTTTTTGTTGATCCTTTATGTGAATGTGTCATCTTTCCCTTGGACCAGACCAACAGATTTTTTTTAAGGCTTATTGGTATGTTACCAATGTCCTAGAGAGCAGAACAATTTACACCTTATATTTGAGAGTTTTCTAGACCATTTTATTTTTCAGCGCTCTCTCTACCGTTTTCCTGCCTGCCTTGAGGAATATTCATGGTTCTGCATCATCTATTTAATGTTGTGGCTCCTGCGCAATATCTCGATGGCACCCAGGGGGCACTGAAACATCAAGTAGTATGCTATCTGCCTGGCTGTGAGTAAGAGAGAACTGTGGATGGTTCAGCCAAGCCCCACTGGCTGAGAGGACCTCACCCCATATGGCTTTCATCCTGACACATTAAACCAGTGGCTTTATTTCCTAATCCACTACTATAACAATCTACCACCAATCTGCAATAGCATGACTGTGTACTTGCTTAGAAGCTGCTTCTGAGGATCCCATAGGTATTTATATATCTTTCAAGGTTTCTAATAAAAGTAACTTTCTATACATTTTAACTTGGACTAAAAAAATGCTTATCATTAGCAGTCTAAATCATTTCTGAGGTTAAGCCTCTTTCTAGAGCAGGTGTTCTCTAACCTGCTCCTTGCGCTACTAGTTTCTTAAGATGCGAATACTTACTTGAAACATTAGGTTAAATAAAGTTAACTAGGTAATGTTTACAGTAAAAAGCAATTGCAGGATTTTATAGAATTACAAACATGTTCCTAACTATTATGAATCTTATAGAGAGGAGAATGTGGTTTCCCCAATTTATTATTCCCATGGGATCATTTTGGGTAGGGCATATATTAAGAAGTGTTATTAATTTCCTTATAACACAGTTTAGAAAATTTCTTATTGCAATGAGGGTTATTCCATGCGATTGGAATATGAGATCAGCCAATCTCATGGTTTAACAAAAACTGCTGGCAATTGTTAATTTTCAGAGTGAGAGAAAGGTATCTGCTTTGAAAATTAGCACAGCAGTATCCACTCAAGGTGATGAATAAAAAATTCTTCTTACTCTTTGACAAGCTAGTAGAGTTTGGAAAAAAGTAAGGGAAGCTTCTAGCACATGCAGCTGGTGTTCTGAGGGCTGTTTCCCAACCTGGGCAAATAAGCAGAGCTCAGTGTGGACCTTGAAGAAAGACTGTTCGATGTGAATCTTGGCTCTGCCACTGTCTAGCTGTGTTACCTTGCAGAAAGTATTTAACACCTCTATACTTCAGTTCCTTTGTCTGTAATAATACTATTGGCCACATTGGGCTACTTTAATAAATCAGTGAGATAATGTAGATAAAGTATTTAGTTCAGTCCTTGATGCATGATAAATGTGGAATAAATGTTGATTATAAGTTTTCCTGGAATGGTCTGAGCTTAGAGAAAGGCATGCTTCCTTCCTTAGAATTCAGTGGACACTTTCTTCTGGCTGAAGCTGGGGCAGGGAGCTGGGGGCTCTGCTGCCCATGGGGTTCTAGGTCCCTCAGGCTGGAGGCTGTTCTAGGGGAGACCAAGTGTTGATCTTGTTCACTGTTTACATCCCTAGAGTGCCCAGAACAGAGCTGCAGCCCTCAAAACATTAAAAAAAAAATGAAATAAATGAATATAGACAACTAAGTAGAAAGCAATTTTTTGGGCTAGATAAAATTGTATCTAGGCTAATAGGACAGAATGACTTATTTTACTCAAAAAGAAAAAATGTCATTATTGGAACTATGTTTTATGAAGGTACATCTGTATTTGTGTTAGACTTATAATGACGAGAGACATTTTGGTTTTCAGGCCATTATTCTTAAATGTTTACAATTATTATAGTAGATGAAATAGGTATTCCAGGCTGATAGAATCTAGGGTTGCCCGTGAGCAGAAGTGTGGTACCCAAGAAGACTTAGTTGCAGGTTCCTTCTTACAGATGAAAAGACCAAGAAAGAGGAAGATTGATTAGCACAAAATCTCGCAGTCATTCATGATATGAACTAAGATAAGTATTTGGGACTCTTGACTCTCAGCCCCATTGAAAAATCACTTTTCCGGGTTGCCAACAATGCCTGGCAGGAAATGGCAGGAGCAGAGACACCAGTTCTGCATGAAACAGCAGAAAAATGGCTGAGGAAACATTAGGGCCACATAAAAAATGAATGTGGAAGACAGATAAAATTCAAGCCTTTGCCAACAGGTAAAATTTCTTGGGGGAACACAATACAAATTTTTAAAAGATGGGACAAAGAGGAAAGAACCCATGGGTATGTGGGATGCCAGGCGGGAAGCTCTGAGGCCAAACAAGATGTAAACGATTATGTTATAATCAGACAACAAGAAAGCACACCAGGATCCTGAGCTTTGTTCAAGAAAATAAATTTGTAAAACATTTCTAAAGGGACAAAGATGCATTGTTTCATATAAATTATTTCACACAATAAATATATTATTAATTAAATAAATATACTAGTCAACCATAGGAGCCATTTCAAACCTGATTGGTCCATAAAAGTACCTATTTTCCAAGTCCCTGTCTGTTTGACCAGAAATACAAACTTGTTGGGAACTCTCCCGCTTGGTTTCGGGGACTGCAGCCTCTCCGACAAGTGGAGGCCCTAAGGCTGGAGCTGAGCAAGGAGGCCTTGGGAAAATAGGCCACTGAGGAGACAAAAACTGTCCCCCTGCTCGCATCACCCTGCTTGGCCCCGGAGGAAGGCTGGTTAGTCAATGATGGGTAAGACCCCTCAGTGGCAGGGGCAACCTAAGACAGGCACAGTTACGTAGGGGCCATCAGGGAAAGACTTGGGAGACATGGAGAAGGGGCAAAAGACCCTCACCCCTCGGCTTTGTCATTGCTGGAGTCCTCATTCTATCTGAAAGAAGTCTCCTTATCTCTTGGCTGCTCTGCCCACTGCCCACTGACCAGGTCAGTGAAACACTACTAAAGGCAGGTACAGCCCTAAACTGGATAGGGTGGTTCCCGGGAACAATTAGGCCTGGAAGAGGAATGCATTAATTCTTATGAAATTTACTTTGCTAAGAATGTCCTCAAGTTAATGAGTACTAAAGTTTGGGGTCAAGCATAGAATGTGATCAGTTTCCCAGGTTTCAGGGTTGAATGGGCACCACCCTATCTACCAGACCCTGACTTGAGGCAAATGTCTGTGTTCTTTCAATCATAGCCTTTTGACATTGATTGATAAGCTTTGCGTGCATGCTGTATACCCCTGCACATATCGTTCTCAATAAAAGCCACTTCAAGAGAAGGGCTCAGGGCCTTCTCCACTAGAGGGAATTGCCACCCCCTTTCCCTGGCAGAATAAGTGTCTGAAACAACTTATTTTCCTCTATCCGCAGTGACCTCCAGGGGGACTCTGCATGGGATGTGGTACCCCCCCATCACAAACTTATTAATCAAATGACAAAATGGAAATATAGTAGGAAATCTTAGGCTTTCAAGCCAGACCTGGGATCTCATCCTCACTTTACCACTCAGTAGCTGTGTGACTTTGTGTAAACTAGTTCTCTTTCCTAGCCTCAGTTTTCTCATCTGTAAAGAAGGTTTAATAATATCAGCCTCATAGAATTACTTGAAGAACTAAACAATGTGATATGAATGCTATCCTAATGGGTACTCAAACCATACATACATAAATATGTAAATACATAATCTATGTTTATATACATAAATATGTAAATATCTATTGAGAGAAAGGGGTGATGTCTATAGAAGAGCTAGAAGTAGGAAAAAAGAGACAAAAGAATATCTATATTGTAAGAATCGTATATATATATTTGGGGGTCCATGCTAGATGAAAAAATTTCATTTGTCTGTTACTCTGAACACAGACAGGGGCTTTGGGCAGCCCTCAGTTGAGTGTTCCTGTTGCCACCAGAGCACTAGCACTTCCTTATCCTTGAGGCAGAGTCTGTCTTCAGCTCTCCGTTCTTCCTTGGATTTGCTTGGCATTGCTAAACCCGGGCTTCCCCACATTCATATCATTAGCTACTCCATGCCCCCAACCCCCACCTCTGGGCCTTTTCCCATGTTTGCCATGAGCCTCTTCTTTCTCTTGGGAGCTGTGTTCTTTCCCAATGGGCTCCTTGGATCATGGTGCCTGTCTTAGAGCCCTCCATTGCTCCCTTCCCTGAAGTCTAGTCCTTAGTTTTAGAGGTACCATATTTTGACATACAAAAAGAGTGAACAGTGTTACTAGATGAACCAGTAGAGGTGAAAACCAAACCAAATCATGTCTACATCAATCCCAAAGTGTTTCGAGCATGTTTGCTCTAATTTCTGCTTGCTTTCCAGCTCCCAGAATGTCTGGTACAGATATGGTGCTCAATATGTATTTGTTAGAAGGAAGGAAAGATGGGAGTGACTTTTTAAAGGGGCACAACCCCATTAAGTTAGATCATTGGGATTTTTTCATCCCTATTGATCTGGCACTTAATGTGTATTCACTGGCTGGAGTCAGGTCAATAAGCATTTTATTAAGCACTTGCTGTTTATGCAGCACCCTGAAGGGCTAACAGCCAAAATTGACTGACAGATGTGGGGACATCAGTGCATATATTTGTAAGCCTCAGCCAGAGGCTTTCTAAAACTGATTGATGTATACTGAAATATAATATGTAAATTTCCCCACAATTAGGCTCCACCAGAAACTTAAAGAACTGGGAGCTAGAGTCACAGTCATTCACCTCCACACTAGCCCCACAGAGAAGAAAGGCATTGTGGGAGAAGGAGGCTGGGTTCCAGGTCTGCCCATGCCACCCGCTCCCTGCGTAGGGCTGATGAGGTTGCTTAACCTCTCTCTGCTTCAGTTTCATTACTTATAAAAACAGAGGACTGGACATGATTCTGTCTAAGGATTCCTTCTGATCAGAAATTCTATGTATGGGCTACCAAAAATAGTTTTGATCAAAATATTTCATTCAATGGCTTGTCCAAAGTGCAAAATATGGCATACGATTTTGAATATAAAATAGGTAGTGTTAAAGCATTCAAGAAACCTGTTTTAAAAATTAGCCAACGAGCCCTGGCTGGGTGGCTTAGCTGGTTGGAGCATCGTCCTGTACACCAAAAGGTTTCAGGTTTGAACCCTGGCCAGGACACATACCTAAGTTGCAGTGTCAATCTCTGATTAGGACACATACGACAAGCAACCGATTGATGTTTATCTCTCCTCCTTCTTCTCTCTAAAAATCAGTAAACATTTCCTCAGGTGTGAATTAAAAAAAAATTAGCCAATGATTTCAGAAATACTGTATCCATAGTGGGGACTCTGTGAGGCAAATGAAAGTAGACTGTTACAATTCCTATACTACATATTCACTTCAAGGGCTTTTACCATGAGACTTAAGTCTACCACCAGTTGATATTTGGAGTCCTATTATCAATAAGGTTTATTGGAGAGTTGCCATTTCGCTTTGAAAATTACTATGACAAATGTATTAGAGAAAAAGATGGGTAAAATAGTTGAAAACATTGTGGACTTCAAAAGAGAGCAAGAATCTTTTGAAAGATCTTTCAAATCTTTGAAAGAAAGATCTTTCAAATACAATCTTTGAAATTAAGAACTCACTGGATGTCAATACAAAAAAACCTCCCTGGATAGTTTTAACAGCAGATGGGACACAGCAGAAGATAGGATAAGTCAACTCAAGTACAGACAATAGAAAACATCCAAACTGAAGCAGAGAAATGAAAAAAAAAAAGCAGGGGGGAGCTATCAGACAAATGTGAGACACCATGAAAAAAGTTTAATTTATGTGTAACTGGAAGTCCAGGAAGAAAAGAGAGAAAGAGAATGGGGCATAAGTGATATTTGAAAAGGTAATGGCCAAGAGTTTTTTTAAAAGTTGATGAAAACAACCCCCAGAATTAAGAAACCCAGCAAACCTCTCAAATCTCCCTTTGTATAAAGACAAAGAAAACCTCAACTATTTTGAACATTAAGTCAACCACCAAAAACCAAAGATACAGAGAAAAAAGAGTAGGATTATATTCTTCTACTCAAAAGTGTCCAGCAGTTCCCCATTCAGAGAAAAATTGAAGAGCCTTCAGCTGTGGAAAGGTGCAATGCAATCTGCACAACCTCCAACCCAAACCTCTGTGGCCTCATCTCCTACCACACTTCCATTGCTTATTCTGCTCCCATCATACTGTCTTCCTTGTTGTTCATCAGACACACTCTCATCTCAGCTTATTTGCTATTAGTCCTCCCTGGAACTCACTTCTTCCAGATACTCACATAACTAGTTCTTCAGCTTCAAGTCTTTGCGCAAGTCTTTTCATGAGGCCTTCTGGGGCCATATTATCTGAAAGTACTTTGCCTCCTCCCAGTACTTCCTATTCCTTCTTCCCTACTTTATTTTCCCAAATAGCACCTATCATTTATGACACACTATATATGAGTTTATTATCTGACACTAGATATAAATGTGGGATTGTTATCTGTCTTGTTGACTGCTGTATTTCCAGTGCCTAGAACAGTGCCTGACACATGTAGGCACTCAAATAGTTTTGGAACAATTGCATATTAAGTAATGGTTGTTGTACTACCTGACACTTCTCTGAAATTAAAGGCACAAAGTTATTCCTTATCATAAAGGTAAGGATTTTGACTTACCTTCATGGTAATTAGTGGTAATTAATTAGTCTCTTTTATTTGATCTCACTCGAAGTTAGTATAGAAGTCTAAATTTGTCCTTATACCAATCAACCTAATTTGCTGTAAAAAAAATCACTGAGACACTATTAGGAAATTCACTGGACTTATGAAAATCAAACCATCTTATATATTATGGAATGTATTTAGGAAAAAAAGAGAAAATTGGAAAACAAAGTATTTTGTACTTACTCATCTGACATAATTTTTTAGCCAAATGGTAGTCTTTGTTCATTTCTGCTCTTAGGAACTGGAAAACATTAAGAAATTATTCAGATAAGTAATTTCAGAGAGAATTTAAGTGTCAATTATAAACTTTCTAGAAAATATTCCATTAATGATTATTTTGCTTTTAACATTACACACGTTTTTTCAGGAATGAGTCTGTAATCTGTCAAACCTAATTAAAAATATTTAAGGACTTCTCATGGCAAGGCGACAGTTAAGTATAATACCTCTACTTCAGTGCAGACACATGATATATGTACTACTGAAAAATTTGAGAATACATAGGTTGATTCAACAGCAGAGAGAGTGAAGACATTAACCACTTTAATAGCCCTTTGGTTCTGATTTGGCTTTTATTTGTTAGCTTCATCCATAATTATGTGATAATACTTAGGAAAAATATGTAGGTTTACAATTATGTACATATATTCACTATTTTCCAGTATTAGTCTCATACCACCCTACTTTTACTATTCTTATTATATTTTTATTATTACAAAGCAACACATATCTTTGTATATAGAAAATTTAAAATCTAAATAAATGCATTCTGTCCTCAATTTAAAAGACTATATCTCTACCTTCCAGAGATGTTTATTATTACATCTTCATGTATATTGTTTCCATAAATGACCACATATTTACAAAAACTAGGACTGTTCAGTAACACTTGAAAAATAAAAATCATGTTCATGTTCGCATATCATGATTATTTTCTCCCATGGAATTAACTATTTTTATATATTTTTTATTTATTTAGGCTGCAATTTACCAAATATTTATTATTAGTTATTTAACTGATTCCACTGAAAAAATCAGCCTACACTTAGATGATTGCTTTTGCTTGTGTGTGACATATTCTGAATGGTATGTAGATACACTAGGTCCACTAGGTCTATTCTCCAAGACACATGAGCATAAAGTCATACAAAACAAAACAAGAAAACAAACGAACAACACTTCTCACACATTTCCAGATATTTGATAAATACCCAGGGGCCATTTTAAAAAGCAGTTGTCTACCAGTTTCTAAGTTTCTTACATGGGTATCAGATTATTTTTCTAATGTAAATGAAACTCTCCTAGAGATTTTTCTATAAATAATTTCATCACAATTCCCATTTATTCACATATTAATAATTCTCTTATATTTAAAAAAATTTATTCTTCTCTACGGTTCTTATTTGTAGATTTCTTCCATTTAATTATAATATCTATGTTTGATCTATGTCATTTTTTCAAAAATCTAGCTCTTAAGTTGATATTTTAATTTGGTTTTTACTCTGAACTATTGTTTCTTTAATTCTTTGTACTTTTCTTATGCTTATTTTGTTTTCCTAGTTTTTGGCACTAATATTTAGTTCATTAACTGTCATTCTTTCTTGAATCATCATCATCAAAGCATTTAAAATTAAGAACTTTTTCAAATGTTTTCATAGCCAGTGGGACCCTGGTGCTGACTCATTTCCCAGATGTCAGCAGCCATCTGGCTCAGGCAGACCACTCCTGAGTGGCAGCAGCATGAGAGGACCCAATAGCCCCGCCCCCAGGATGGACTGGGCCCCACCCCGTGGTATCTAAGCCGGCCTGCTGAGTGCAAAGTGACTAGATTAATAGTAGTATGGTTATTGCTATTTTCTAAATAGGTTTATAAGTTTAGAGTTTTATTTTTAATTCATGAGTTACCTAGAAGACTATCTTTTAGTTTTAAGTAATTTTGTTAGTTCACTTATTGTCTGTTTATATTTTTTAAATCTTTATGGAAGATTTAAATATATACACAAGTAGAGGAATTGTAAAAGAAATACATGCTCGCAATTCTCACCTTCAAAAATTAATATTTTACCAATCTAGTTTTATCAGTATCACCACAAACTTTTTCCCCTTCTGCCTAGACTATTTAAAAGCAGTTTAGGGGGAATCAAGATGGCAGAGGAGTGTGTGGAAGCCACACTGACCTCCTCCCCAGACCAATCTGGAATTAAAACTAAATTGTGGATAAATCACCTAGAACAAACAACTGAACAATACCTCTAAGAGAGGAGCCTTTAACCTCAGACAGACAGAAGAATCAGCAATAGCACAACCTAACTGTAAGAAGTGTGGTAGAGACTCAAGAAGGCAGGCAGGGCACCTATGGGTGGCAGAAGGATATCGAAATGGCCAGTTGGATCCCCCTGAGAAGAGCGGGGTCTAAACCATAAGTGGGGATCTCCAGACTACAGCACCAGATCCCCCAAAGTACACAGATAATAGCCAGCTGCAAAAAGTGGCAGGGTTTCTCTCTGCCAGAGACAGGCAGCTGGAGACACGAAGAGCCGTTTAAAGGGCCCACACGTAAATTTTTATTTGCAGGCACTTACCTTGGTCTCCGGCTAAGGTGGGGGCAGAGTGGTCTGGAGACACCTGAGGAGAAACTGGGGAAGAAGGTTTTGGGGAGAGAACTGAGAGAGTAGCCGGTGGGACCCTGGTGCTGACTCATTTTCCAGATGTCAGCAGCCATCTGGCTCAGGCAGACCACTCCTGAGTGGCAGCAGCATGAGAGGACCCAATAGCCCCGCCCCCAGGATGGACTGGGCCCCACCCCGTGGTATCTAAGCCGGCCTGCTGAGTGCAAAGTGACTAGATTAATAGCAGAAGGGGACAGCCACAGACAGTAGATTTCTGGAAGTCTTGAACAGTTTGCCTAAGGTCAGACAGGGTCAATATCTGACATCATCAGAGGCAGATCCAGAAAGAAAAAACAGCAGTCTCCTACCATAGAAGTTCACACCACAAAGTCAGGAAATCCAGACAAATTAATTTAAGAAGCAGAAGCAAAAAAGAAGAGTCTCACAAATAATGGGAAGATAAAGAAACACCCCCTAGTCAAAGGGAATGGAGGAATCCCCAGAGAGAGAAATAAATGAAATAGAGGCAAGTAAACTATCACATATTGAGTTCAAAACAATGGTTCTAAGGAAGCTCAATGAGCTAAGTGAGCTCAGAGAGAATTACCAAAAACTACAGGGAAACTACGAGGAACTTACTGCAAACTATATTAGCATGAAAAAGGACATAGAAACTATCAATAAGAGACAAGAGAAAATGAAGAATACAATTTCTGAATTGAAGAACACAGTAGAAGGAATCAAAAGCAGGCTACATGAAGCAGAGGAATGAATCAATGAGCTGGAGGATAAGGTAGCAGAAAACTCCCAGAAAGAGCAAGAAAATGAAAAAAAGACTCAGAAAGAATGAAGAGGGGTTGAGGGAAATGCAGGACAACCTGAAATGTAACAATAACCATCTAATGGGGATACCAGAAGGAGAAGAAGAGGAGCAAGGGATAGAGAACCTGTTTGAAAAAGTAATGATGGGAAACTTCCCTAATTTGAGAAGAGAAAAAGACACACAAGTCCAGGAACCACAGAAGGTCCCATTTAAGAGGAACCCAATGAGGCCCACTCTAAGACACATCATAATTAAAATGGCAAATATCAAAGACAAACAGAGAATCCTAAAGGAAGCAAGGGAGAAAGAGGTAGTAACTTATAAGGGAGCCTCGATATGGCTAGCAGCTACTTCTCAGTGGAAACACTACAAGCCAGAGGGAATGGCAAGAAATATTCCAAGTAATGAAAAAACAAAGGCTTGCAACCAGGACTGCTCTACCCAGCAAGGCTGTCAATTAAAATGGAAGGTGAAATAAGGAGTTTCCCAGACCAAAGGAGGCTAAAAGAATATACCTCCATCAAACCAGCACTACAAGAGATGCTAAATGGACTGCTTTAAGAAGATGAAGAAAAAGAGTCTATGAATACCCAGTTCCTTTCACAGTCACTAATACTTGATATTATCAATATTTTAAATACTTATTAATCTGATGGTATGATGTGCTATTTTGTTACTTTATTATTTATCGAAACTAAACCTGTTTTGTATACTTTTTCCCTATTTCTATAATTTTTAAAAAGCTTTATATGACTTTTTGGTATTCTTTATGCATTTTTTGATTAAATGTTTGTAGAATTTTTTCCCTAAAAAAGAAAAACAAAACTATTAACCCTTTTTTAGATGTGTTGCAAATACTTTCCTATTCTATTACTTGTCCTTTAACTTTTTTATATGTGTATTACTATATAGTCTTAAATGTTTAATATAGTCATATTGTCAGTATTTTATTTTATAGCTTCTGGGTTTGAATATTTTACTTCAGGGTAAGGAAAATATTATTTTGTGTTTTCTCCTAAAACTCCTTAGATTTTACTCACCTGAATTGATTTTTAGCTCACCTGAATATTTTTTGGATAGTGTGTGAAATAGGGCTCTGTATTTGTTTTATTTCAAGTAAAAGAGGTTCATGCACCTTATTTGTTGAATAAGACTTATCTTTCCCATTGATTTGAAATATCAATTTAATCATATATTATATTGTTAGATATATGTTTGTTTCTAGAATGCTCATTTTATTTCATTGATCTACTTGGAAAAAAAGGAAAAAATAAAAGGACTTTATATACATCACCTCATTTTACTTTCAATTAAAAACCCAATCACATTATCACTATCACACCTAAGAAAATTAACAAGACTTTCTTAATATCAACTAATATCCAGTATTTTTAATGAAGTGTTATATTAATAACACTAATCTCAGAAAATGAAATGGTGCATAGAATCCACTTCAAAGGCTCCTGTGCATTGACCTATTTTTTATTTGCTTTGATCTATTTTATGTTGTTAACATAAAATACATTTTCTTTCAATAGTTGAAATGCCAGTGAAATTAAGCAATTTGTGCAATGAATATTTGTCTAAAGACTTTCATGAAAATTACTTAAAGACTTCAAACTTAAGCTGAAGACAGGTTTCTAAAAAATAGGTCTTATATTAAATTATTTGTAACAGTCAAAATAAAGGAATACTCAAAAACTAAACTCAAAACATGAATGATGGGATTCCTGACTGGAAAATAGTCCAGTTGTAAGTCATTTTAAAGACAAATTGGGAAGTCTCAATTTGCCTATAATACACTTTACC